TTTTCTGACTTGTTAATTTGTTTTCGGATTTGTCATTGTGTTTTCTGACTTGTCCAGAATCTCAAAATTGACCAGTGCATGAGAGAGAAAAAAAGTAGCTTGAACTGCATTTTTGTTTACAATTTGTCTTGTAATGACACATCAACTAGAAAATGTATCAGTTATTAAGGTGAATATATTTATATATCTCGAGTTATGTGTATTGTATGTGGGTTTTGGGGTTGCAGTTCAGGTTTCTTTTTTAAATGTCCTTATATGTGTTTGCATAAAGCCCTTCCTTTGTACAGATAACTGAATTGCATCTTTTAGCTAGCCTACTATCTATTTTTTATTAATTTTCTGAAATGTGAGTAAATTATCCTATATTAAATTGTGTGGCAGGATAAAGTTACAAAATGTTGTGAATGAATGAACATGAATGGATGAATGGATGAATGATGAATCACAGCACTCTATCTACGCAGTTTATGCTGAACAGCTCTATGTACATTTAGGTATGAATCAATACAACAATTTCCCCAAGTCAGCATGAAAAAAGGAATACATCCATTAAACCCAACTTCATCAGTCTCACGAGAATATAGAGGAAATAATTTGTTATGCCCCAGAATGGTGTGACTGCAGATTGTGTAAGCAGAACATTTTTTGCCTCAAAATAGACACCAAACAAAAGTTCCAAACAAGGTCTTTTTCATTAGCAACATTTTAAAGCTTGCCTCAAACTAAGATTTTGAGACAAAATTCCCCTGATCAGTTTGTGATACTTTATTGAAATTAATTTAATTCACTTTTATAATTATGCTGTCACAACTGGATAAAGAGGCACACAATGAATGATAGATTCGGAGCTTCTTTATTGCCACAAACTGAAGGTATATTCAAAACGGTAAGTTCAAACATAAACAGTCACTGAAGCTCATAAAACTGAGCAATATCAGTCCTTTTTTTCATTAGCAACATTTTAAAGCTTGCCTCAAACTAAGATTTTGAGACAAAATTCCCCTGATCAGTTTGTGATACTTTATTGAAATTAATTTAATTCACTTTTATAATTATGCTGTCACAACTGGATAAAGAGGCACACAATGAATGATAGATTCGGAGCTTCTTTATTGCCACAAACTGAAGGTATATTCAAAACGGTAAGTTCAAACATAAACAGTCACTGAAGCTCATAAAACTGAGCAATATCAGTCCTCATCTTAATGCTTTCGGGGAAAGTCCACAGGAGAGTGAGAGACACAGAGCCATGGGAATCCAGACTAGTGATGTTAGGTTCTTGAACGAATCGTTCTTTTGAGCCGGTTCTCAGGAAGTAACCGGTCGAGCCGGTTCACAAATCAAACTGAATCGAACTTTAGTTCCGGGTTGATGACGCAGGACGCACAGCCCGAAGTACCACGTTCAACTCAAAAAGAACCAATTTTACAAGTTCTTTTGGGAAGATTTAAACATTTTCCCTTACCGAATGTGCTATCCTGTCAGCAATAACATGTCCATGGGCTCTTTTGATAACTTGTCAGTTTAAGTGCCGGAGATGCAGTGTTGCCAGATATTGCTATTAAAACAAATAAAAACCGCAAAAAATATTTTGCAAATAAGATAAGGATATCGCTGACCTTTGCAACTTTACAGATCTTCTTTATGCACCAAGAGCTTGTAACGTATGATAACGTTGATAACATTTCTACTAAATAATATCATGATATTTTTTGCGTTTCCCTTACCGAATGTGCTATCCTGTCAGCAATAACATGTCCATGGGCTCTTTTGATAACTTGTCAGTTTAAGTGCCGGAGATGCAGTGTTGCCAGATATTGCTATTAAAACAAATAAAAACCGAGAATTATTTCAAATATTTTGCAAATCAGATAAGATAAGGATATCGCTGACCCTAAATTGCAACTTCCCACTCTATTAACTTTCTAAAGTGTCAAATTAAGTGGAAAAGACAAGTCAACACGGATCTGGCAACACGGCTGCGCCCGCGCCCTCAAGATTAGTTCACTCCGCCAGCGTCTTACAGCGATCATTTTCATAGCACGGATGCTAAACATTCTTGCAAACTGTCTAAACTGAATTATACATGCATGCAGACACTCATGTTTAACCTTTAACATGTTTTACATGTGTCTCTCTCTCACTTAAAGGCACAATATGTATGATTTGTTTATTAAAATATCCAAAAACCACTAGAACAGTGTTATATATTTTGCTGACTTGTGTACTTACACTATCCCAAATGTTTCGAAGATTGTTTAAATCCAGAGAAATAAGTTGCCAGATATTGCTATTAAAACAAATAAAAACCGCAAAAAATATTTTGCAAATAAGATAAGGATATCGCTGACCATAAATTGCAACTTCCCACTCTATTAACTTTCTAAAGTGTCAAATTAAGTGGAAAAGACAAGTCAACACGGATCTGGCAACACGGCTGCGCCCGCGCCCTCAAGATTAGTTCACTCCGCCAGCGTCTTACAGCGATCATTTTCATAGTACGTTAATAAATCTTTAGCTCATCCATGAACATGATTTCTGCCCGAGTCCCGTCGGATTGCATCGGCTGTGTGGGGATGAAGACGACAACTCCCATGATTCCACACTCAGTCACAGCGTCATCAAACTATGCATTTGCCTCTTTGTTTATTTTGAATACGCGCCCTCCAGCGGCGAAAATTGCATATTGTGCCTTTAAGTGGCGCTCTTTCCTCTTGCTCGTACTCTCCCTTGCCTCCACGATTTCCGGGATATTGTATCTAATTTGCGGGCGTCAGGGAGCCACTATTAATTTGCGGGAGACTCCCGGAGCTTCCGGGAGAGGTGGGATGTCTGTAATCATTAACTAATTCATCATTAACATCTGGATAAAGTGGAAATTATTATTGCACTAACACATAAAATAGCACTGTGTTATTGCCATCATATGTCTCTTCAATAATTTCAAGCCACTTTTGGCTTTCGCTGTTCCTGATTTGTTTGTCTTTCTTTTTTAGACTTACTACAATTATTTTCAGCTGTTCTCAAATAATATGTCGAAACTTACAAGTTTAACGGACGAGACCGGGTGACAGCCAAGGTCTGTTGCCCAACAAGTCCACAAGACTGACTGAAGAGAGAAGGGTCTTCTTACTTTAAATCTGAGGGGCTTGTTGTGAATCTCATATTCTGAAAAACTGATCTTCCTCTCAGGAGTCAGTATACGCTGCCCACACAGTGTATGCATGTGCATTGCACTTTCAGGGGGATAAAGCCGTCCCAACCTCCCATCTACAAATTTAAATGTGTAAATATCAATTGCACACATTGTTGGGATTTAAAATTTAGAGCAGTTATTATTTGTTTGTGTATATTAACCCTATAAAGCCTACTGTATCATATTTCATACGCAAATGTGTAAATCCTATTAGTATGAAAAAAAGTTTTGCACAATCTGCTACACGCCCTGTCATCTGATTGATAGTTTATACTTTTTTTAGCAAGTAAAAAGCCTTTTACTGATTTTTATAAAGTAAATGTAATACCTTTTTAGATTGTTAGAATTTCAGGATGAACACTTACTATACAGAAGCAATTTTTACTTGATTATCCATAAATCTTTTTTTTTTCTTTAGAAAAAATCTGGTTAAAATGTGAGTATCAAATATACATCAGCCTTTTAATATACCATAATTTGATCTCTCAATCATCATTGCATTGCGTTTTATGTTTTGCCCCCACAATAAAAACACAAACTAAACTAGCTTTGATCATAAAACTAAACATTAGAAAAACATCTAAGACATATTATTCAGAGTTGTAGAATGAAAATTAAAATTTCATCACTACCACCAATAGTAACAACGATAAAATCAAATTCAAATATGATGGTCCTTAAGTTTATTCATTTTTACTTGATTATCCATAAATCTTTTTTTTTTCTTTAGAAAAAATCTGGTTAAAATGTGAGTATCAAATATACATCAGCCTTTTAATATACCATAATTTGATCTCTCAATCATCATTGCATTGCGTTTTATGTTTTGCCCCCACAATAAAAACACAAACTAAACTAGCTTTGATCATAAAACTAAACATTAGAAAAACATCTAAGACATATTATTCAGAGTTGTAGAATGAAAATGAAAATTTCATCACCACTACCACCAATAGTAACAACGATAAAATCAAATTCAAATATGATGGTCCTTAAGTTTATTAAAATGTATTTATTTTATTTTACCTGGTGGACCTAGACTTCCTTTCTCTCCTTTAGGGCCAACAGTACCTGCTGGTCCTGCAGGTCCTATTTTACCTGGGGATCCCTGTGCACCAACTCAGGAGAATCGGGAGTGAAGTCACTGGTTTGCTTATTTCATTCAAAAGCCAAAGCCTGATTACTGTTAGCCATCAGAACTAGAGCATTTTACTAATTGATAAGGCATTTGTGTCTGGTGTAGACTGGTGTTACAATTTGTTCTTTTACTTTATACTTTACAACTATAGTGTGTGTCTAAAATGACATGAACTGCCTTATGTTCCCAGTTCATAGGGTAATAACCTTGGCATTATTTGTGTAAACATTATAAACAAACAAACAAAAATAAAATGGCTAGCCTATATAAATTTCATTCTTTTGTTATTTGATCTTCTGTCAGTAACACAATTAATGTCAGATTTGCACTGAAATAAAAGAGACACTCTTTGATTCATGACAAATAGACATAAGAAACTGTTTATTAAGTTGTAACAAAATTTATAGCAATTATTTGTATATTTTGCTTGACATGCTTGACAATAGGATTTAAACTGTGCGTTCTATGTGCACTGTTTATAGCATATTAGTATTGCAGACCTGTATAATTAGGCTGATGATACATGGGGCAACTTTTTGGTTAAAGTTACCGTCAACAGACAACCAGGTGAGACACAGGGCCCACGACCGATCTAAAGAATTCAGATAGAAATGTGTTACACTGTGATGCTATTTGTTAATAATTGTTTTTGCCACAACAGTATCATCAGCCTAATGTTATACATTCTATTTGTTGTCTATTTCACACATAATAGGACGTATATCACCACAACTGCCATCATCCCAAAGGCCAGAGTCCTCTATAACACCACAATCTTGTAGTCCCTTATAGTCATCAGGCTGACCAGGACCCCAGTTGGTAAATGTCAATTGCTTCCCCTCAGTGTCCACAAACCGTCCCTCTGTTTCTCTGTCTGTGACTCCAATATATGGCTTCTTACTACTTAAACCACTGGATACTACTAATTTCAATAACGCTTGGTTTTCTGCAGAAGTTCTTGGCAAAACCATTGTTCCACCAAAATCCTTGCAGAATTGTAATCCTTGATCAAAAGTCCCCACAACACCATCAGTGATGTAGTATTTCTGTCCAACTTGCCTGAAGTGGCAGACACTCGCAACTTTCTCAATCGTGACAATCTTGGCTTTAAGTTGCTGGATCTCAGATTTCAGGGATTCAAGAACACTTTCACTTCCAGGAGACCCTAAATATAGAACAATTACTTTGTATAGCTTGTAGAATACACATCCAAACTTGTTCATGCACAACCTTAGTCTCTGAAGTCTCCACATTTCCACTTTGGACTTTTAAACCTTAAAGGGATAGTTCACCCAAAAATGAAAATTTTCATTTTTAGGGGAACTATCCCTCCTTAAACCGCATAAACACATTGCATTACACCAAATACACAAAATAATGTTCTTTTTAGCAGCATCATATGACCCCTTTAATAACTTATAATGTTTAATACCTTGTGGACCTGGAGGTCCCCTTTCCCCCTTTTCTCCAGCTGGCCCAGATGGTCCAGCTTTACCTGGTGGTCCCTGAACACTCACTCCTGTAGGACCAAAATTGAAAATAAGGTAGAAGTGAAATAATCTCTACCTCAGAATCCCTCACTTCATTCATTCATTTCACTCTCTCTCACACACAGACCTGACTCTCCCTTCTCTCCTTTGGGTCCAATTGCTCCATCTTTACCATCTCTCCCATCTCTGCCAGGCAGACCGTTGTGTCCAGGAGTGCCAGGAACTCCACCATATGTAGGACAGTTCAGGTTCTGAGGCTCAGCTCCATCCAACATCTGCAGTGCAAACTGAAGGAGCAGAAGAGCCCAGAGGAACAGCTTTAACAGCGCCATCTGTGGTATAAAAAGGAAAATGTCAGCGAACTTTTCCACAATCTGTAAATGACATTTATTTAGTTACTGTAACTAATATAGCCTATCACCATACATCCCCAATGAATTAATCACAGTACAACACTGAAATGTTTTGTTTAAATATGCAAATGGTGCATTAAAAAAGCAGTAATTTGCATACATTTCCACAACAGAAATTTGAACATTGAATAAAGTCAGATTCAGATTTCTGAATATCTGATTCAGTCAGATCTCTGAATATCTGTTTTATCACCACATAAATCAGAAACTACTGTCATCATAAGCATGTTTTAGGAATAAATAAGGTGAATGTTACATGAACAAACCTCTCTGTAAAAAACCTTCAGAATATTGATAGGAAGGAAACTAGTTTGGTGCATATAAATGCTACTGAAGTGGAGATTTCTGTCTCAGTGCAGGACAAAAAAGGGCATTAAAATAAATACTGTAAATGTAATTCAACTACTCTGACATTTAATGGAAGAGCAAACTTGACCAAAGCTTTATAAAACAATGGTTTTGCAGTCTCTTGCCTTAAACTTATAGAAATCGTTAGCAAAATCTCCAAGCAGTTTGAACAGTATTTTTGTTTTCAATTTAACAATTTTTCACAAGTTGGCCTGCCCATTCAACCTTGATAGATAATGGTAAACAAACTTGACTTGCTTTCTTCAAGGAAAGCGAGTTAGAACCCACCTATAATGGTACTACGTGGAGGAAGAATGAAAGAAATAAAGAAGGGGATGGGGAGTTGGAAGGATGCTGGAAGAATTGTTGCTGGGATGGCGCAATGATGATTGACAGGACTGAATGATTTAGAATGAAGCCCTTCATTTGTAGCAGACTTTTTTAGCTACTATCTATTTCATTCATTTATTCTATTTCATATTTTATTAATTTTTCTGAAAAGTGAGGAAAATTATTCTTTATTTAATTGTGTGGCAGGACAAATAAGTTACAAAATATTGTGAATGAACATCAGTGAACCTAGTCTCTATGGAGTTGCTGAACAGCTGCATACCAACTTTCCTATAGGTTTGACCTGATAAATTTTCCTAGGTGTGACCTGAACAGTTTCCCCCCTAAGTTAAACAGAAACACATCCATTAAACCCAACTTCATTAGTCTTGTAAGAATATAGTGGAAAGCATTTGTAATGCTCCAGACTGGTGTGACTACAAAAACAGGAAATACCTACTTAAGCTGAAAGACACAAGTTCCATACAAAGTCTTTTCATTAGCAAAACTTAAAAGCTTGCCCAAACGAGATTTTGAGACAAGGTTACGCAGATATGTTTGTCATTCTTGATTGTAATGAACTTGTATAATAAATGCACAATAACTTTGAGTATTGATGTATGATTAAGTTTTCTCATGGTCCATCCTAATACACATTAAATAGCATTGTGTGTAATTGCCATTCATTTCATATGTCTCATTACTGGATAAGTTCAAGCCAACTTGTGGTTCACTGTTCCTATTTTCTTTCTTTCGAATATTTACTGCAATTATTCTCAGCGTTTTCCAATAACATTCAAATTCTTACCAGTTTAATGGAGGAGTCCAAGTGATGCAATGTCTGTTGCCCAACAAGTCCTCAAGACTGAAATCACACAACTGACTGAAGAGAGGAGGGTCTTCTTGCTTTAAATCTGAGGGGCTTGTTGTTGTGAATTTCCTTTTCTGAGATAGAGCTCTTTCAGATATGCTTCCCACACAACGTACGAGTGTGTAGTGGGCTTTGAAGGCTTAGAAAGCATCATGCCTGAAGACGCCTCCTTCAATCAGAGCCACCCTGCTCATGACACATATTAAATGGTTTACAATTATATTGCTCAAGACAAGGGGAATTGGGCCCTTTCAACCCCCCATATAGTCACACCCTGGTTAACTAGTTGTTATACTATTCCTTCAAAATCCTCAGCAAAATGACTCCATTTAAATGATGTATATATCAATTATGGATTGCAATTTAGTTTTAACATTTATTTTTAATTTTATTACGTAGACATAATATTGCATATTTTGTTAATAGAACCTTAATAGTGGAATATCGAATTATATTTTTCATTTGGTTAAAATATGGTATACGTTCTATTTGTTGTCGATTTCACACATATGACACCTATCATCACAATTGCCAACATCCCAAAGGGCAGATTCCTCCATGATAGCGCAGCTAAGTGCCTCCTTGTCCACCCCACATTAAAATGTATTATAAAATGTAAAGTGTAAGCATCACACAAAGTTTGCAAATATCTAACATCTCTCTATCCATAAGCTGGTCACTGGACTTTAAAAAACTACTGGATTTACTAGTTGTTGCAGTTTTCCTTCAAAATACATTGCATTTACAGTCCTTTTTAAATAACGTTAAACGTTAAATAACGTGAAGAGAGAATTTTCTTGCTCTAAACCTGAGACGCCTTCTCCACCCATCCTTATAATGCGTCTATATTCGGTTCATTACGGTAGTGGCGTACGCATGACATGACAGGTGAGGAAGTTACCAAGTTTTATCCGTGATATACAGTCAGCGGCTCACCTACTTTGTTTTACACTAACACCCGGTCACAAAGCATTAAAGGTGAGTTATTTTCTTTATTTTGTTTACAGGCGCCGATCCGGGACTCGAGCACCCACGGAAAACGCCAGAAATGCGCCGTTAATTTGAACCAAATTGTAGCTTAGCGTGTGTGCATAATATTTCTTATAGAAGCTGTCGATATGCTTCATTTCGTTTTTGTAACTAAAGATAGGTAGAAATGTGAAAAAAGTAGGCCTACGCGTTTCTAACCAGTAATTTAAAGCTAGTAGGCTACATAATATTTTTCTTAGAAGCTGTCAATATGTTTTATACGATTTTTTGTGTGTGTCTAGGTTTTGTCCGTCTTGTGTCTGCGTTTGTAACTTGTGTCTTGTGTCCGCGTTTGTAACTTGTGTCTTGTGTCCGCGTTTGTAACTTGTGTCTTGTGTCCGTTTTGATAATCTGGAGCAAGATAGTTATTCATTCTATTTTAGGTAATTGTTAAGTGAGAATGTTATTTTTAAGGCATTATTTGTTCATGCAGAGATGAATTAAAAAAATGAAAAGGTGTATGTTTCTAATATTTTTATTTTCATAATATTTTTTATTAGGCCGCCTGTTGAAGATGTCAGAATGTTTCATGTAAATGTATTGTGTCTAGCTCCATTTCTGTAGGCCTAACTGAAGAACTGAAAAATACATAGGTTAAAAGGCATAAGATTGTCACGTCAATCGTAAGTGAACACGCGTGCAATATTTACAGAAGCTGTCAATAAGTTTTCTACGAATTTCTTGTGTAGGCCCTATATTAGGTTGACCATATTTTAGTTTTCCAAAAAGAGGACGGTGGGTGGGGTGTGGTTGGTGCAAGTAGCACCCAAAGTAGCGCAATGACATTAAATATCAAAACTCAAAATATGTAATTTCCATACCTAAAATACATATTTTACACTGTTATGCATATTGATCATAAACACAGCTTTTTAGCTTCCTACCAGTGGCCTTCCTTCACAAAACTATAGCACAGTTTTATCATAGGGTAGATTGCAAAATGTTTCAATACAAGCATTTCAGTCAAATGTAATTCATGCAACATTTCAAACATTTAACCCATGGGGGAAAATCAACCCATGGCTACAGTTTAAAAGTAGCCAAATTCTGTGGGGGAAAAAAAACTTGACAACCCTGCACGATCCAACAGGAGCTGCAGGAGTCAGATTTCACTGATCATGGGTTGAGAGGAGAGATGACTGACAAGATCATACTGGAAGATTTGCTGCTCAACAGATCCTTAGCTCATTGACAAATAACTAATCTTCCTTTAGCCTACACCGAGCACGCGTTATCGCGAAATTGATAGTAAAAAAGTTCACAGCCAGCACTTATTCAAAAGAGATTTAAATATTCCGCATTTTGATAGCGGCTCCCTGATGCGCGAAAATTCTATGCAATATTAGAATGTTTGCAGGAGCAGGCGGGACTGGACACAAATATCTCGGGAACGGGCAATAATGGTCAGAAATTCAGTGGGAACAGGATTAAGAAAACAGTCTACAATCTACAGTCTAGGACTCCAATACAAAAACGCACACAATGGCGTTTGTAGAAAGCAAAAGACGAATCCCGGACATTTTAGGCGATTTAGAAATCCGGATGCATTTTTTTTGGGTCCAAAAAGAGGACATGTCCGGGAAAAAGAGGACATAGGTCACCCTACCTATATATTCCGTTGTAGATCCTGAGCAAGATAAATTGTTCGTTGTGAGTTTGATATTTTAAGTTATAATTTGCTTCTGGCAAGTTGGGATAAAAATCTATGTTGACATATGCATGTGAGTTTTCGGTGGTGGGGTGCCAGTGTGCCGAGCACCCACCGGCGGAAAAAGAAATCGGCGCCTATGAGTCACATGAAGGAACCGTGCAGCACGTAATAATCCAAATATAGTGCATGTGTTTATTTACAACAGTGTAAATAAACGACTTTTAAGTCAATAATCACTGTCTGTTCTGTTTGTGCACATTTATGACCATCCTGTAATAAAGAAGTAGCCTAGTGGATCTAAAAATGGTGATAAAGTTGAGTGCTGATGATCTGTCTTGAATGTATGTGGCAATATGGAACAGACATTGCGAAGGCAAAGATTGTTCTTCATTGATTATTAGCTAAGTTAGAGGAATTTGGCCCACACACTCACTGTCACTAGCTGCATTCCAATCAACCGTAAGTGCCCTGCAAAGTGAACTTTACAGCGCGTTCCAAAATCTAAAGAACGATTAGTATCCCATAAGAAGGGAGTGTACGTGTTTAGTTCGAAGAACACCATTAATGAAGGCACATCACTTCGCAGGCAGTGGAGAGGGAAATGTACCAGTACCAGTACGTAAAGAAGCTGGTATTCAATAAACGTGGTGAAAAGGAGTGGAGGCAGTTTGTTTGATTTTCCGGGTGTGTCTACAATACATTTGTTGTTTGCATAAGACACACCCATGCTTGTCAGTGCCAGTGATTCTTCAGTACTACTGAATTGTCATCACCTTCAGACAGAAAATCTCAGAGGATTGACAGTTTATGTTGTCAAGTGTTGACTATTATTATTATTATTATTATTATAATTGCTATTATTTATAATTATTTTTATAATTATAATTATTATTTTTTTATAATAATAGTAATAATTATTATTATTATCATCATCATTGTCATCATTATCAATGGTAGATATTTAGTTTTTCTGATGTTGCTAGCTACTAATAGGGCCTAATTACAATGAGGAAAATTATCTAAAATCCCAAACAATTTATTTACAATTTGTCTGCCAGGGTTGGCATAGAGTTGTGATATAGCACAGTTACTTAAGATTATATACAGAAGCGTTCTTGTTGAACTTACAAAAATGTTAAAACGGGGGAAGAGGCTCTTAGAAAATTTTGTGTGTGTAACCAGGATATATCTTTAAACAATATATGTACATTGTTGTTTTGCTTTCTGATGGTTTTAAGTGTAGTGAATGATAATGTCATAAATTTGATAAAATAAAGAGAAAAGCAAATTTCCCATTGTGTTAAGAGAGCATTATTGAAATCATATCCGATTCATTGCAGTTCAAGTTTAAAATCTAATTAGTAGGACAAGTTGTGCATATTTTGTTCCCTGTCTCAAGAATCAGTTTAGCACTGTACTTTTAGCATTTGCAGTGTCTCTGGACAAAAACACAATTTCCTGTTCTGTGTTTCTCCTTTCTTCAGCCAAGCAGTCATGAAGACTCCGGCTTCCCTTCAGACTGATCTGAAGGCGAATACAGATTCCAGACTGCAGCGAAACTATAGCAGCCCAAGGCTGGAAAACTGCTTTCTGGCTCAATCGCCCTCAGCATTGTGTCACCATCAGTACACATCTCCATCCTGGGCCAAGCAGACCTCCACCTCTTCATCATGTCCAGCACTCCAGCCGACCAGCCTGTCCTCCACCATGTCCACATCATCTCTTCTGTCATCCACAACGATGAGCTCACTATCCTCTCCCTCCTCTCTGCTGAGCACTAAGAATACCCTCCTAATGGAGCCTTCACTTCATCCTCCAGTCTCATCCTCCCTAACCTCCTCCTACTCCCATAATCCTTTACTCTCTTGCTCCAAAATGTCAACTCCCAGTGCCGCCCCAGCTGTCTGCTCCTATCCGCCACCTTCAATGGAGAATAAATCGGGCTCAAATGAAAAGAGAGAAGTGGAAGACATGCTTTTCTCACCTGAAGGGCTGCTGGGATCTAGTGAGGAGCCTAGACAGGTATAGAATGATTTCCTCTATTGCTTTGTAAGATTGTATGTGAATTAATGTAGCATTTTTTCCCCCCACATTTTTTTATTCTTTTATTCACCGCCACACATTTTTATTAGTATTTATTAATTAATTTCACAGTAATTGCCAATAATTTGACTCAAGCACTAAACATACAGGATTTATTTTATGGATGAATCACTTTTTAGGTCATACACCTGTTTCACCACCTAAAACCAAATTTATACTTCCAATGCTGCACAGAAAGAATTTTATGATTAGAACAACTTGATTATAGCATTTCATTTAAAGCTTTGTTTCTGCAAAAATGTACAGATACAGAACCAAAATGTAGTTAATTATATTGACTCTGTACATCTTAACAGGATGCCAGACATGAAAGCTTGGAGGAGGATGACCAGATGCTGTCCTCTGAGGTGC